TCGATAGGCTTCCAGCTGTTCGGGGCTCAGTTGGAATGCCTCCCGATGACACGCTGACAAGCCCGACACCTCCTCCTTTCCTCAAGGAAAGGCAATGCTACCTGGGATATGTGACGTGCAAATCCCAGGAGGCAAAGGGAGGAGAGTACACATCTTTCACCTAGGTGAATGACATGCAAGGGGAGGCGGTACAGATATTTTATCAACTGCTTGCTGACCCACCGCAGTACATATACTGCAGATGGGCAGCTTGTACAGGCACCATAACATACCTGTATGTCATAGTCTTCCTCTGGGTTCAGGGCGCGTGTGCACCCCCGCACACCGTCTCTGCTGTGATTGAACACAGTGGAACTTAGTCACTAGGTCCCAGGCCAATAATTCATGGCTGGGACCTGCTAATCGGCTGTGTCCAATCATAGCTCAGAGCCCTGTGTTGACAAACAACACAGGGCTGTGTAAAGAGGAAACGATCTCTGTGTTTCTTCTGCCAGCAAAGCAGGCAGAAGAAACAAAGTGATAAAGTGATATTTAGTAAACGCAACACACATTATACAATGTTATGCACACACTTAACCCCTTGATTGCCCCTAGATGTTAACCCGTTCCCAGCCAGTGTTATTAGTACAGTGACAGTTTATTGTATAAGCACTGATCACTGTAATAGTGCGACTGTTGATGTCAGTGGCAGTTACTCAGTTCCCACAAAGTTTGATTGTCCACCGCACTATCACCGTCCCACTATAAGTTGCTGATTGCCGCCATTACTTTGGTAACACCAGGGCCTTTTTTTCTCATGGCATAGGTGCAGGAACTCCCCCTTCCAAGTCACCCTTGTCCCTACCCAACTCCAAGCACCGTCCCTTGGTTCCACCCCCTACCCTCCTCCCAGTACTGCCCTTTTTAGGAAATACAGAGCCAGGTACAGTGCCTTGAAAAAGTATTCCTACCCCTTGAAATTTTGCACATTTTGTCATGTTACAACCAAAAATGTAAATGTATTTTATTGGGATTTTATGTCATAGACCAATACAAAGTAGCACCTCATTGTGAAATGGAAGGAAAATGATAAATGGTTTTCAAAATTTTTTACAAATAAAATATCTGAAAAGTGTTAAATTCAGCTCACTTTACTCTGATACTCCTAACTAAAATCTAGTGGAACCAATTGCCTTCAGAAGTCACCCGATTAGTAAATAAAGTCCACCTGTGTGTAATTTAACCTCGGTATAAATACTGCTGTTCTGTGAAACCCTCAGAGGTTTGTTAGAGAACATTAGTGAACAAACAGCATCATGAAGGTCAAGGAACACACAAGACAGATCAGGGATAAAATTGTGAAAAAGTTTAAAGCAGGGTTAGGTTATAAAAAATATCCCAACCTTTGAATATCTCACAGAGCATTGTTCAATCCATCATCTGGAAATGGAAAGAGTAGGGCACAACTGCAAACCTACCAAGACATGGCCGTCCACCTAAACTGACAGACCAGATAAGAAGGGCATTACTCAGAGAAGCAGCCAAGAGGCACATGGTAACTCTGGAGGAGCTGCAGAGATCCACAGCTCAGGTGGGAGAATCTGTCCACAGGACAACTATTAGTCATGCACTCCACAAATCTGGCCTTTGTGAAAGAGTGACAAGAAGAAAACACAAATCAGATTAAGTTGAAGGAAAGCCATAAGAAGTCCCGTTTGCAGTTTGCAAGATGCCATGTGGGGGAAACAGCAAACATGTGGAAGAAGGTGCTCTGGTCAGTTGAGACCAAAATTGAAAAGCAAAATGCTATGTGTGCCAGAAAACTAACACTGCACATCACCCTGAACACACCATCCCCACCGTGAAACCTGGTGGTGGCAGCATCATGTTGTGGGAATGCTTTTCTTCAGCAGGGACAGGGAATCTGGTCAGAGTTAATGAGAAGATGGATGGAGCCAAATACACGGCAATTTTGTTAATAACAAAAAAGGCAGTAAAATAGATCCCCTGCAGCCAGCAACAATAGACGATGACCCCCTCTAACAACAACTGATCTTCCCCATAGCAACAATAGATCCCCCACAACAATAGACCTCCTCAAAAACAGTAGATCCCCCACAACAATAGACCATCAAGCATCAATGGACTCCCCACAACAAAATACCACCCCAGCAACAACAGATCCACCCTAGCAACAATAGACCCTCAGCAGCAACAGATCTCCCAGCAGCCAGTATCAATAGACCTCTCCCTTAACAGTAGATCTCTCCCAGCAACACAAGATCCCCCAGCAACAATAAACTTCCCCCTGCAACAATAGAATCCCAGCAGCAGCAACATATTTCCCAGCAGCCAGTATCAATAGACCTCTCCCTTAACAGTAGATCTCTCCCAGCAACATAAGACCCCCCAGCAACAATAAACGTCCCCCAGCAACAATAAACTCCCCCCTGCAGCAATACACCCCCAAAAAAGAAAGGAAATTGCTGCACACTCTGCTAGGGTGTGTTGATTTATTTAGAAGTACTCATAGACAGTTGTCAAAACATTAGGGCACACAGATAAACATACAGTCAGGAGAAAAGGTGACGAGTTTCATGTTCCATAGTTCTTATAACAAAAATACAGCACTGGATGATATCTCTTATATACTTCTTTAAAAGCTACACAATATACCCCCCCATGCAAGAATAGATCCCCAAGCAGGCAGCATCAATAGACCCTCCAGCACACCCAAAGCACCCTTTGCCATTACAGTGCTGGAGGTACCAGAGCTGCATTCTTACTGAAAAAAAGCCCTGGGCAAGACAATGATAATTACATTTAAATATATAAGTTCCTTAAAGGAATCAAAGGTTGCATTTGAAACCCCCAAAGTCTACGTGGTTGCCAGCCCCTGCCGTAGACAATGTAATATTCTCCACATCTGAACATTTTAGCAAATCTCCAGCCTCCTTTCAGAACATTTGTGAACAGGGCAGGGCAGCCTTTCATTCTGGATCATCATGTACTTTTGCAGAAAGACTAATACGGCGTCCTTTGTTAGGACCAGAGGTCGGAGCAGAGGAGCTATTTGATGTCTCGCTGTGTTACTGAACGCTTGTCTTATCTGCAGATATCGGCTCCTGTCTGTGATACCTTTCTCTGATAACTTATTGAGCATATCAAATGTCGAGTATGCTCTGCTACGGATTAAACGTTTAATCTGAAGTGTTCATTTGACCTGGATATGAGGAAATATCTAAAACAGCCGATAAGATTAAACGCGAGGAAAGATGTAATATGTCTTCTCTGAGAGGAATTGATACATTTAAGAAGTGAAATTCTGCAGTGCTAGTTTTCTGCTCTCGTGATTTTGTTATCCTGGCCATACAAGCACAGATCTTTCTTAGTTAACTAGCACGACAAAAGACTCCTAACTCCCTATGTAGATTTCTATACTGATCACTTTCAGCGATTAAAGGGATACTGTTATCCTAAAGTCCTGGCTAGTCTATGTACTGCGGAGGGCCATCAATGCTGATGAATCCCATATAGCCATGACAGTGCCTACAGCCCCAAGTCATTGAGCACCCTCCGCATAGGTAGGTGTTAGCATCTTTCTTTCACAGGGTAGTGAGACTAGGAGTTAGAAGAGGGATGAGAGTAAGGAAAAGCCTGGGATTCCACTTTAACTTCCCCACTATATAATACAGAGGAAGAATTCAGAACAACATGGAGACCCTGGAACTAAAACTACAGACCATTATCTGAAAAAGATAAAGCCTTATGGCAGGAATTATACACCCTGTTGCTTTTTGCAACACTACCCAACTACGTGCATGGAGCTGCACTGCAACCACCCTGCAACCGCGTTCAATGAACATGTTTGTGGCAGGGTGGTGCAGTATATAGAGAGTTAAAAGCGGTAGTGAGGAGGTGACATATCGCCTCCTTGCTGTCTGCAAAACGCCTCCGTAAAATGATCCGAGCGTGAATCCCCAGGAGCAGCTAGTCCTTGCTGAAAGAGCACATGAGCCCTAAGACAGGATTGTGTTACTGGTTGGATCACCAGGTGAAAATAAATGAAAAAAGGATACAAAAGAAAATGAATGCAGCCATCACACTTGAAGTGTTACTAAACCCACAACAGTAAAATCAGTCTGTATATGCAATAAAGCATGCTTGTAATACTCATTGTGGTACCTAAGGGGTTAATCCTCTACATTGTGTAAAAATTCTGTTTGATCCTGTGTTCTCCAATCCTCCCCTTCTTCCAGTGTCCCCCTCCTATCTCCTGATAAGGGGCATCATGCGGAGATACTCTGTACATGCTCAGTTTGGTGTGTATTGCTACAGAGTATTTTTTTTCTTGGGAGAGTGCGTGTGATCAGCCCAGGGCCAATCAGCACTGTCCAGACAGAAGGTCAGGGGTTTTGCATCCTCCTAGAGCAGAAAGAAAACTCCTCCTACAAGCTTTAACAAGTGCTCTGCTGGACACTGAAAAAAGTTACAAGACTGCTCTAACTGCTGATGAGAAAAGGTATTTAGCAGTTAATATTTACTAAAATAATTGCGTTTCCATGTTCTGTGTAGAGTGGGAGACCAGATATAGTGAATGCAGGGTCCGGGGAGAGCGGATATAGTGAATGCAGGGTCCGGGGAGACCAGATATAGTGAATGCAGGGTCCTGAGAGACCAGATATAGTGAATGCAGGGTTTTGGAGACCAGATATAGTGAATGCAAGGTCCGAGAGACCAGATATAGTGAATGCAGGGTCCCGGGAGACCATATATAGTGAATGCAGGGTCCTGGGAGACCGATATAGTGAATGCAGGGTCCTGAGAGACCAGATATAGTGAATGCAGGGTCCTGAGAGACCAGATATAGTGAATGCAAGGTCCTGGGAGACCAGATATAGTGAATGCAGGGTCCGGGGAGAGCGGATATAGAGAGCGGATATAGTGAATGCAGGGTCCGGGGAGACCAGATATAGTGAATGCAGGGTCCTGGAGACCAGATATAGTGAATGCAGGGTCCTGGGAGACCAGATATAGTGAATGCAGGTCCTGAATGATATAATGAATGCAGGGTCCAGGGAGACCAGATATAGTGAATGCAGGGTCCGGGGAGACCAGATATAGTGAATGCAGGGTCCAGTGCTTTCCAGATATAGTGAATGCTTTTCCGGGGAGACCAGATATAGTGAATCCAGGGCCTTGGGCTTCAGTAACACTTTAAGGACTGATAAGCTGCAATATAGTTACATTTTTGTTTTTTGGGTTTGTGAAACTGAAGGTAATTATTCCAACTAATGCAATATACTAAAACTCCAAAAAGTGATAGGTGCAGCACATGCCACACCAGTGTTACCATCCAAATAGACTAAAAACCATTTCCCTCTAATACACATATATCCAAATAAGAAGGTGCCATCTCTCTTGTGAAATAAATACTATTACCCTCTTGCAATGCAGACCAAGCAGAATTCCTTCAAAGCATCCAGAGTTTCCCCCTCTTCGGAGGCTACTATTTGCTAGCAATCCAGCTTCCATTTTCCTCCCAAAAACATAAAAAGCTCAGCCTTCATATATAAAAAGACACAATTTACTTTACAGAAAAAACGAGTGATATTTCTATCTCACACAGTCCATTTGAATGCAGTAAGAGCCGTGGACAACTTCCGCTTTGTGCATAGTATTTGGCTGTGTTCGTCACTCCGAATGAAATAGGGAAGTGACGAAATTGTTTTCAATGACGTAATAGGATATATACGATTTCAAACCGGAAGATGCGGCACGGCCATCTTGAACCTGGTCAGATACATGGACTGTGGGAGAGGATGGACGCTGGCGTTTTTTTATGTAAGATTACTAATAAATTGTGAAATCCTTTTTTATATATACTACACTGAGTTAACTATCGGCCCCTTTTAGGAACTGGGAAGGTGGATTGGTAGCAAATAGAAGCCTCCGAAGAGGGGGAAACTCTGGATGCTTTGAAGGAATTACTTGGTTGCATTGGGGTAATAGTATTTCTTGGAGAGATGGCCCTTGCTTATTTGGATATATATAAGTGAAAAAACGTTTTTCGTCAATTTGGATGTAACCGGTGTGGAGACCTTATCACTTACTTTGGAGTGTTGTTTTATCACGGCAGGCCTGGAGGTATCACTTTCAGTTTTTCAAAAAGTGTTTCCTTTTGTTGTAATGATAATGCACTATATTGAGTTTATATTTTTTGACATCCTGATTTTGAGTCCTGGATTGGATTCAGCAAAACTGGAGTGTTCCTTAACGTTTGAAAAGCACTACTTATTGGAAAGCACTGTATTTTGGGACTTTCATCCATCATTTTTTTGGACTTATATGTGGGACATCTCTTGTTGGTATTTGTTTTGCACGGGTGGGGGGTGAGAAGTGAGTATTGAAAAGATATTATTTACAAATTGTTTGCACTTTCAAGGGTGAGAGTGATACAGGGAAATTTAGAAATCTTTATTATACTCAGATATAGGAATGCAGGGTTTTGGGAGACCAGATATAGTGAATGCAGGGTCCTGGGAACTCCATCTATAATGAATGCAGGGTCCAGGGAGACCTTAGTGAATGCAGGGTCCGGGGAGACCAATATAGTGAATGGAGACCAGATATAGTGAATGCAGGGGATAGCCATGGGGAGACCAGATATAGTGAATGCAGGGCCTTGGGCTTAGTAACACTTTAAGGACTGATAAGCTGCAATATATTACATTTTTGTTTTTTGGGTTTGGTACTGCTTTAAGGTAAATATTACAATAATGCAATATACTAAAATCTATGCTAGCTGCAAGTGCCCCATGCCGGACTCCCCTATAATCAATGTTAGAAATCACCACACTGTAATACACAGGTATCTTGTTACATCAGCGAGATTACGAGGTGTGAGCGATAGCTGCCATTTTCCTCCCAACAACATAAAAAGCCGCCTTCATATGCAGAAATGACAGCGCTACTTTACAGAAGAGTGATATTTCTATCTCACACAGACCATTTGCATGCAGTAAGAGCTCAAGGACAACTGGGCTTTGTGCAATTATTTGGCTGTGTGTCGTCCTCGGATAAGAAATATGCCTGATGCACGCCGAAATTGTTTTCTATGCTGTCAATAAAAGCGTGTCCCATTAGCAATGATTTCCAAACTTCAACCATAAGTGTTCATTAATGTGATGGTCAGCAGAGTGAGAAAATGGAACATCTTAACCGGCATAATGCGACAATTTAACTGCCGGCCGTTTATCAAAGACGTGTCAGGATTGCCTTTATAGAAGCGTCAACAAAGTGGGAACCCCTACTGTCACAGCCATTACATGTTGCTTGGGGTAATTGTCTCTTGAAATATGCCTTGCCTTCTGGAACGATTTGGCAAAGTGTAAAAAACGGTCGCAATTTTGTATTCTCCGCAGGTATGTGCAGGCCTTACTCTGTACTTATCTCTCTCTTGTTTGATAGATGACAGCAGGTATGTTCTGCAAAAATGTTACCTTTCTGGATGTTGTGTATAAGGAGATGTTATATGCTGCCACATCAGAAAGAAGTGAAAGAATAACTGAAGACAAAACTTTTTTTTTTGTGGAGAGGGACCTGTCAGGTTTTCATTGCTGTCTGTGCCCCCGTTAGGGAGACTCACCCTCTCTATTTGCCCTGTTTACCATTATCATCAGAAGTGAAAGTGAAAGAAAACCCCAAATGTGGGTTGCCATCAGAACAGGATCAGAGGGGAAATCTTCCCAATTGTACAAGGATGGTAAAAAAAAAAATGACGGGTAATAACGCAACTCCATCTAAAATGAAAAAAAATAAAAAACCTTTTGCCTACAGTTCTACTTTAATTTAGAGGAGTACTACAAGTTGGATAGCTCATGGGGAAAAAGACTGGAGTTACTATAATTGTAACCGTGGACAACCTTCTAAGACAACAGGATTTGTAGGGGAGGAGGGCCCCAAGCCTGCAAATGGTGATAATAACTTTACTATTTTGTTTTCCCCGATGTACACCTCTACATATTTGTGCCCACATTCTTTGAGGGAAGGGGTACATGAGACTTTGATAGGGGCTAGACACCCTTTAGAACTCTGTTTGGCCACCACACTGAAATGGTCAGTGCTTGTGCCTGATTCATGTACCTGTCAGAGACAGGTATATGGATCTGTTGGAGCCTGGCACTGCGGTCAGAGTGTCCATAATGGACCCTAAGGTTGCAGTGTCTACACTGGACCCTGAAATCAGAGTGTGCATACTGGACCCTGAGGTTGGAGTGTGCAAACCGAACCCTGAGGCTGGAGTGTCTAGAATGGACCCTGAAGTTGTGTGTGCATACTGGACCCTGAAGTTGGTGTGTGCATACTGGATCCTGAATTTGGAGTGTGCATACTTGACACTGAGGTCGGAGTGTGCATACTGGACTCTGAGGTTAGAATGTGTCATACTGGACCCTGAGTTTGGAGTGTGTATACTGGACCCTGAGGTTGGAGTGTATATACTGGACCCTGAGGTTGGAGTGTGTATACTGGTCCCTGAAGTTGGAGTGTCTATACTGGACCCAGAGGTTGGAGTGTGTATACTGGGCCCTGAATTTGGAGTGTCTATACTGGACCCTGAGGTTGAAGTGTGTATACTGGGTCCTGAAGTTGGAGTGTCTATACTGGAAGCAGAGTGTCAGGAATCTAGGAGTGACCAGAAAGGTGTGGACTGACACAGGGGGCACCGAGTCACCTGGCAAGTCAGCGGGCACCGAGTCACCTGGCACGACAGCGGGCACCGAGTCACCGGGCATGTCAGCGGGGCACCGAGCCATCTAGCAGAACCGGGGTACTAGCGGTACCGGGTCACCAAGCTCGACAGCGGGCACCGAGTCAACTGGCATGACAGCGGGCACCGAGTCATCAGGCATCGGGTCATGTGGCTCAACAGGGGCATTGGGTCCTCAGGCATCACAAGGTCATCTGGCTCGACAGCGGGCACCGAGTCATCAGGCATCAAGTCATCTGGCTCGACAGGGGGCACCGAGTCAACTGGCACCGAGTCAACTGGCACGACAGCGGGCATCGAGTCACCCATGTCAGCGGGCACCGAGCCATCTAGCAGAACCGTGGGTATCGGGTCACCAAGCTCGACAGTGGGCACCGAGTCAACTGGCACGACAGCGGGCACCGAATCATCAGGCATCAAGTCATCCGGCTCTCAACAGCGGGCACCGAGTCAAATGGCACGACAGTGGGCACCGAGGTCAACTGGCACTACGAGGGAACTGAGCGACGACGTATGCACTCTAGCAGCTGATCCCTGGTATACTCCCGCAGAGTCTGATAGGCATATTCTCTGTCATCAAAGACTAGCATAGACAAATATATAACCTCATCAGGATGCATCCTTCACAACAAGTCAAGATGGCTTCCCTGTGCAGCCACTTCTGGTCAGGAAAGGCCTTGGTGTGATGTCAGGAATCTAGGAGTGACCAGAAAGGTGTGGACTGACACAGGGAAATGCAGGCCTCGGGTACAGTATAATACAGTTTATTATTAGCCACCCAGATATATATATATATATATATATATATATATAACGCACAGTGAACAAACCAACCTTCCACTAATCTTAGTAGGTGCAGGAACACAGGCGTAGTCCGGGCTGGAGAGGTGGAATGGTCTGGCCGGCCGTAGAGTTCTGTAATGACCGTTTGATGGTACCTCTAGCGGTCCCCAGGACAGGATTCCCCAGGGCGCGGAGTCTAAGTCCCAGTCTGCTTATTCACCAGGGCCACTGATGGTGGGGATGGACTTGGAGCAGACAGGAACCAGGTCGCGGCCCCTGAGTACACCTGCTAGTGGTAGAGGGATCCGCCAGAGGTATGTGCAGGTAGAAAGCCTGATGTGAAGAGGCAGAAGGTGTGAGCAGGGACGGCTGGATCCGTGCAGGATGGATGGATGGCAGAGTAGTTAGCGTGGTCAGACGGGCCAGGTCAGCAATGTGCGGGCAGCAAGGTACCAAAGGAGCAGGCAGAGAATGGTAAGGGTCACAAGCTGGGTTCAGTAACTCACGGGCAGCGCGGGTACAAAGGATCAGGCAGAGAATGGTCAGGGTCACAAGCCGGGTTCAACAGAAGACGATCATCAGAGGTCAGGATCAAGCAGGGTCAGCAACGAGGCAGGAACACAAGATACCAGGTACAGGGGCTCATGGGAAAACATACACCAAGGCCCAGACTGCAGGTCTGGCCATCCCTTAAATACACCTTCTGCAATCAGCCCCAGGTTTGGCTGATTGCAGAAGTGAGCTTCTGGCTGCTGAGAGCACCCGCTGGTCAGCCCCGGTACTGCAGCCCACACGGCAGGTGAGTTCCACCACCAGTGCTGAGTCCATTCCTGACACAGAGGTTGGAGTGTGTATACTGGGCCTTGAAGTTGGAGTGTTTATACTGCACCCTGAGGCTGGAATGTGTATACTGGGCCCTGAAGTTGGAGTGTCTATACTGGACCCTGAGGTTGAAGTGTGTATACTGGGCCCTGAAGTTGGAGTGTCTATACTGGACCCTGAAGTTGGAGTGTCTATACTGGAAACAGAGGTTGGAGTGTGTATAGTGGGCCCTGAAGTTGAAGTGTCTATACTGGACCCTGAATTTGGAGTGTGTATACTGGACCCTGAATTTGGAGTGTGTATACTGGACCCTGAATTTGGTGTGTATACTGGACCCTGAGGTTGGAGTGTCTATACTGGACCCTGAATTTGGAGTGTGTATAGTGGGCCCTGAAGTTGAAGTGTCTACACTGGACCCTTAAGTTGGAGTGTCTATACTGGACCCTGAATTTGGAGTGTGTATACTGGACCCTGAGGTTGGAGTGTCTATACTGGGCCCTGAAGTTGGAGTGTCTATAATGGGCCCTGAGGTCGGAGTGTCCATACTAGTCCCTGGGGCTGGAGTGTCTATACAGGACACTGACTCAAGTAATTTCCTAAGATATGCATTCCCATATTTGAGTAATGACATAACCACCATCTCCGGTTAACATCTTAATGGGGCTGGGGATACAGCACTATGTGGGAAGCTGTCACATTCATGACAGCTTTCCAGCACAGGCACACATTTGAATGGGCTGCCCAATGCACACCAACGAAAAAAATTTAGTGTAATATCTTAAAGCGGGCCTTCACCCATGACAAGAACTTTTTCTCTGATTCCTCCCCCCTACAACTTGCAGAATTGGAAAATATTTCACAATTTTTAGATAAGTATGTTATATTTTTTCCATGGCTAGGTAAGAATTATGTAGGGACACCCGCTGTCTCTTGGTATTGCCACATCATCTCCAAGGAAGCAGTGTTTTACTCAGGGGTGCATGTGTATATACAGATATATAAAGATGGCAATGTGCAGAAGAGGAGTGGCGGGAGGCGATTATTACAGAGCTGAAGTTCTCCTTTAATACAGCCACTGGTGTGAAGTAGAGATGATTGCATTGCAGCCAATGAGGGAGACAGCCGAGCTTCTACCAAACTTTGTAAATTCATCATCCGAGAATGCAGCATCATCCCAGAGACAACACTTGGAGGCTTCCCTTTCCTGATGGAGACCTGGAAATGGATTTTCTTCAGCGTAACATTAGTCATCATCTGATGATTGACTGTACATTGCCGCAGCCCTTTCTACACTTGCCTTGATTTATTTTTAT